ATTTCGACATAGAAACAGGAGCAGCAAAACCAAGCCTTTCCAGGATCGCGTCAGTCAAACCAACGGGCGCACCTTCCTGCTTTGACAGTTGCGTAATAGACCGGCCCTATCGCTTTAACTCCATTACGCATATGATTGGTGCTGTGTAGTAACGCCGCTTGGAGATCTATTCTACATTCAAGTGAGGGAAATAATCACAGGAAAAAAAAGGAGAGGGCTTTGGGGGTTTTTGTGTGTGACCTGGGCCGGTGCCAGCACTACCTCGCCGTGGCCCGGCCCTGCCCGGCGCGGCCTGCTAACCCTGGTCAGGCTGACCGGCCCCGGGGCGGCGCGTCAGAGCGCAGCGGTGTGCGCTCACGGCACCGTCTGTGACACAGATACATGACAGGGCTAGGCTACCAGGGAAGCTAACAGCGGTGCTAGCTTGACACATTTCCAGCCCCGGCTACAGTGAGGAGACATGTACCGAGCATATGTAGCCCCACGCCGGGGCCTTGGTGCATGCAGAAAAAGGTGCTCTAGAATTACATGGGGGTGTACTTACTGCTGACTTTCATGCTGCCGAAAGCGGAGGGCTGCGGCACTGGTTTGCAGCTCTCCGCGAAGGATGTGGTCCTGGGCCGACCCGACATGATCCGATCCCTTTTTAGATTCTCTCGACTCGGGAGACTGTGACTCGCTTAAACGGCAGGGCAGGTCGATTCGCCGAACCTTCTCATCCAAAAAGGATGACAGTAAATGAATATGAGCGTAATTCACAGGGAGGACAGGCGAGAAAGAGATCCCTTTAGCCCCACGATCCTTCACGCTGCTTCGTATCACCTAATAAACTACCCTTTCTTTCCCAGCAGACGAGCCGATCAGAGCATCGTTTCTTCCGTATATTCCAGGTTTTCTTTCAGCGGGCCTTTGAAGACACGTCTCCGACTAAAATAGTCATGAATCTGGCCTCTCCCTGTGGCCCCCTTCGTTTAAAAAAAAAAAAAAAAAAAACAATTTTGCGATTTCTTTTTCTGGAATCAATTTCACAAAGAGTTCAGACAGGGATCCGGGCGGGGATCACAGACAAATGCGGCGTTTTCTGGATGAATCGGGACACATGCAGCTCCTCTTCATATCCCGATGTGGAGGCTCAATGATCCGACTGCCATGGCGGCTCCCTCGCTATACCCTAGCCTACAGACCGTCCAACGGAAAATCTGCCAGTTGCCACAGTCTCGTACAACGAATTCACTGGCCGTGCGCTGACACAAAATCCGGCCACGCCGCTGTCAAATTTCGGCGTCTTCACCGAGGCTCGGGGGCAGCGAGCTCCTCACAAAATGATGGTCTTTAGGTACAGATTGCGACGATACTGAATTTCTTTTTTTTTTTTTTTTTATTCCTTCCCCATAGGTTTCGGGCTCGCAGTCTTTGTCGCTGCGCATGCGAGGCGCGCCGTTTGCGTAAAGGCTTCCAGGGATTGCTGCGCCTTCATCCAGAGAGCTTCACGCTGCTGACGCAAGCGGCGGCGCTGAATAGGAAAACTGTGAACGCGCAAACGGTGAATCTGGGGTGGCCGAATTAGCCAATCAGAGCGGGTATCCTTCAGAAATGGGCGTTAACCGGGGGTTCCAGCGGGCCAATCGGAGCGCCTCTCCGGAGCACCACATGGCATAATTTTGCTCGGTACCGCCTTCGAGACTTCAAAGGCTTTTCCCCACGCCGCGACATGGGACATTGGGCGGATCCGCTCCCGGGATTGATGAGCGGATCCGCCAATGGGGCTCCAGCAGCAGACTGTCAGTTCAAATGGACCCAGCTGTCACAGAGCACCGGTGGTCATGCAGCACTGTTGCTATGTTAGGTACAAAAGCCCAATCCTCCACCTTTCCTCGACACTTAACGCGGCCCTCTGGCACATCCATTTAATTACACTGCTTAGTAATTCTGATCATGTGCGTGTGCATGGCTGACCTGTCACTACAACTCTCCATTCAGGTTCATTCATCATTCTTGTGTGCCTTAACCCCATCTTATATATTCCCCATTATAGCTCTTATAAATGATCTTTTTCAATTAGGTATGTATGGAAGATGCCATAAATTTTAATTAATTCCTTAAATTCAGCCCCACACTACCTCAATTCCTTGAATCATGCACGTATACATACTGCACATATACTGCAGGCCATCTAGTACTATTGCTGAAAGTTTTGTTCTTAAACCACATGTTGTATTTATCACCAATTCCATTCTAATTTAATATATTTAACATATTTTTAGTTTGAAGCACCACATTGCAGAGAACATTTCATTGTGCATTGCTGAATAAAGTTGAACCTTGACCCTCGAAGCCTTGAGAACTCCTTTGGCTCATCATTTTTCTTCTTTTTCTTTCCTTGGACATGTGCGATACGGTTCTATTTTAATAGTATTTATGTATATTTGGTTTATTTTTGTACAATATTTCTCAAATGTTTGCACTATCTTGGCTGCTGTAACACTGTGGGATTAATAAAGGCTTATCTTGTCTTAATAATGCTGTTGAAAAGGCATTTTGATATTTTAAAATTGTATTTTTGTGTAAATTCTCTTTCGGTTTGCAAAGCACTTTAAGCTGCATGGTGTGCATGAAAGATGTTTTATATGTACAGATCATCACATATTACTCATTACTGTAGGATGAAGTGTTTGTTCTTACACTACATTATCTTTTGCATTCTGATTTATTTTCTTTGTACATTACATGTGTGTTGCACGAATGGCACAAGTGCATTTCATTGTGCAAAACACTAAAGCTGAACCTTAAACCTTCACTTATGCCTCATAGATTTGCTCAATGTCAGTTAAAAAGAATAATTTTGGGGAGTCCAGGTTGTTTAAAATTCCTTTCACTGATCTTTTTAATCTAATATTTGGTAATAATGTTGATTTAAATGCTTAAATGGCAATAAATGATCAGTGGGTAAGATGGAATTGTAAGTCTGCCAATGTAGAAATTAATATTACTTGCAAGTTTTATCCAATCTGTAAGACATGAAGCATTAATAAAGCAATCAGTTTCAAATTATAAACCCCTAACAAAGAGTAATTTATTAGACGGTGATACAATTTATGCCTCTCAAATCACTTGAGGTCTACCTCAAACGCACCAAAGTGAATGCCGCTGCTGCGTAACTCATTTTTAAAAAATGCATGAGGTTATTTAGGGAAACAAATATAAGGTATGATTGATTGCCAACAGTTTTTATTCCTCAGTATGCCAGTGTTGCTCATCTGAAACAGAATGCAGGTCAGTTATCTTAGCTTGGCAGGAAAGTCTTTCCTCCTTCACAGTGATAGGTGGGCTGCTAGTCTGTCTTTTGTGTGGTTTATTTATACTTTGTAATGCTCCGTATCAAAGGGAATTTCTCCCAGGCTGCCCTTCAATGGTTCATATGCAGAATAGAGCGCAGCAGCGTCTCAAAAGCAGGCAGCTGAGCAGAAGTAATGCAAGACACCGTTTTTCCCTTCATGGCAACACCTCCCCCGGCAAACGCACATTTTCCCATTAGCGCAAGGGAAAAAAAAAAAAAGTAAAATACAGAGAGGAGATAGTGGAAGGGAGCGAGAGTGAAGGCCAAGTTAGGAAAGAGAAATCTAAAATAAGAGAAGAGAGAGTTTCTGTCTGAGTTGCAGGAATGTTATGGAAACTTCTGAATGCGTGTTCATGAACCGTTTTGCTGAAAGTCACGTGAAATGGATGCTGGCAAATCTTCCCCCCTTGGATAATATTAGTTTTAACACCGAAAGTCAAACGAAGGTCAGGTTTAACATTTTAGTGCATATAATCAAGATGGAGCTAGACCAGATCTTCAAAAACTTGCATGATTTACATACAGTCGCCCTAAAATATATTCATACACTTCCATGAAAGAAAAGGTAAAATTCACAATAGTCACTCAAATAACTAGAAACTGAAAAAAGCAACAATAAATAAAAATTTGCTAAATTATAATTTAGTAAAATAAGACATTGATTTTGAATTGTGGTTGAAAAGAATAATTTAAAAATAAATAAATAAACTGTCCTTGACAAATTAGAGCACTTTGCTGATGAGCAGTGGGCCAAAATCCAAATAGCTGTCAACAGGTGCAGAAGTCTGATTGAGAGTTAAAGAAAACACTTGATTGTAGTGATTGGCTTAAAGGGTTGTTCAATGAAATATTAGTTTATGGGTCCCATCATGCTTGTTTTTTTGTTGCTGTTGTTTTTTTTGTTTTTGTTTTTTTATATTTCTCTTGAACCACAATTCCAAAGCAATGTCATGATTCTCATTAAATTTGTATTTGTTATTACTTTAGTCAATTTCAACTTATTTCGGCTGTTTTTTTCCTTCTTTAATGGGAGGGTATGAATAAATTTGAGGACGACTGTACACGGTTACTTTTTTGGTAATATGCTTGCTTAAGTACACATTTGTTAGGAACCAGTAAAGCACAATTAAAAACCTGAAATGACAAAGGTCTTAACGTAGTTCCTGTATCTTTACACAATCTTCAGGCTCTGTTGTACGATGGAGCGTTGTGTCTAAATTAATGCTTATATAGTAGATCACCTTAAACACATATGTGCTAGAACATGCATCTTCGAGAAGGGACTTTGGTTTGAGCGAAATGTGAGAGTTGGACTAAACAGGGACTCGTTTTTGGCCTGTGATTGCATCAAGCCTCTGTCTGTTTGGCTGTTCATGCCGAGGAGGCTTATCTACTGTAAAGCAGGAAAAGGTGCAGAATGAGTGGTGTGGAGTTTCTTTTGCTGTCCTGAGAAAGGATTAGAAAGGCAAAGGTCAGTAGGTCTCTCTGTCTTACACAAACACACTCACACACATCGGACAAACATTCCAGCTAACTGCGACCTTTGCATATTAAACACTCTTAAACAAAACAGGACGACAACACTGAGGTCATAAGCAAGCAGCGAAAAGCAACTAGACAGATCTGTTAAGGTTATTTAAGAGATCAGTGACTTAAAGCAAACTCAGATTCTGCAATAAAATATTATCACATCATTTTAAAGTATACATATAATAATGTAAAACATAAAAAAAGAACCGTAAAGTAGCTCTGTACACCAAAACATCAACAAATAAATATTAAAATAAATACAGCTGATAGAGTGTACATTTCTAATATCCTGTGAAAACCTTATTTTCACATTTTTAATTTAGTCGCTACTGTCATCCCATTTTGAAATTAGATTAGACTTTTTTTAAATGTCAAGGATTTTCATCTGTCAGTAGAAATATACAAATAATGCCATAAGTAATATTAAAAAAATAAACAGCATTTTGTGCTTTCGAGATACAAAAATCGACTCATGAGTAAAAGAATGATCCTGCCCTATGATGAAAGATTGAAGACTATCTTAACCGGCTAAGATCGAGTTATCTCTCGTCGTGGAAGCACAACATTTGTTAAGGACATCAATTCAAGTGGTGGAAATGGATAAATATGTAAAGTGCAGCATATGTGTTCATACAAAGGTGGGTTTGAGGTCTTCTTTGAACACCACGGGGCGGGGGGAGCGGTAGAGGCTCGTGTAGTCGTCGTACTCGCTGTCCGAGGAGTCCGAGGAGCTGTCCGAGCTCAGGAGCGAGCCCCGCTGCAGGCAGGAGTCGCAGTAAGGACGGTGGTAGTAGCAGTAATCTGTCGAGCTGCTCGAGTCCGAGTCCCAGTACCCACACGAGTCTCTAATGCGTTTGTGGTGCTGCTCGTTATCACCGCCCACCTCCACTTCATGTTGCTCCGCACAACGCAACACTGAGCATCTGTGAGACCTTGAAACGCATCTTTGACATCTTTCTTCATGCCCGTCTGCGTCCTCCTCCTCTCTTTCCACATCAAGGTCGCTGCTGTAGACCTGGAGAAGGGTGTCGTCCGCAGTGATGCCCTCAGGAAGCTTTCCTGTGTTTTGGTGTTTACATTTGTCTCTTGTCTTCCCACAACTGGGAATCTCTGAACCTGTGTAGAAGCAAGGAGGGGACAAACCTCTCCGGGGGGAGTGAAAGGGCGGCCGGCGTTTTCTCATGGCGTAGGGGGAGATGCTGGGGTAGCGGAAGAGAACAGGTGGATGAGGGGAGGGAGCCGTCCGCGAGGAGAGAGGGGAGAGCGCCGAGGCTTTGGTCAGCGGCGTCCTGGACGTTTGACCCGGAGATCTAAGTGTGGTTTCCATGACTGCATCCACGCTCAGCTCCTGGAGGATCTCCTGCAACTGTTCGCTGCTAATAAAACCAGTTGGCCTGGCGTTTGGTCCCAGCTGAACTGTCAGGCCGCTCTGTCCGCCAAACGTCTCAACCTGAGAGGGTTTCAGCCCTCTGCGGGATTGTAGAGAGGTGACAAAGTGCACTGTCTCCTCTGCTGTCCTGAGTAAGCCAGGAAACGGGAGGGGCTGTTTGAGATCCTCCCCCGTCCTGGACTCAGCTGTGTCTCTGCCTGAAGGCCCAGTAGCGGAGACGTCTCTCTGGGTTTCACTCACGCAAACTTCGACGGGGAGAGGGGAGGAAACAGAAATAGGGGCCGCGGAGTTCGGAGCAGAGGGAGGCTCAGTGGACGGTGAAACCACAGATAATGAAACAGGAGCAGCAGGGAGGTAAGGGGAGAGGTGAGGGGGTGAGAGTCTGGATTTAGAGTCTCTCTGAGACAGAGAAGAGGAAGAGGGGCCTTCAGACTGGAGCTCGGTGGTCTGAGTGGAGGAGGAGTTGAGGTTGGTGGCGGAGGAGTCCATGTCCTGGTCCTCGGAGGGCTGGCTCGCCGACATGAGACGAAGGAGTTTGTCCTTGGCGTTGTTCACCTGCTCCTGAAGACTGTCGATCACTGCGTTCTTCTGAAAATGGCATTGACAAACACAAGTGTGAACATTTTGAGACAAATGCATCTGCCTCTAAGTTTGCACATATCAGTTTCTTGCATTTTGAATCAATATAAACAGAGCAGGCCCACAGTGAGAGGCAGTTGTTAACATTTTGCTCCACAGCTGTTGTCATTTGGATGTGAAACTAAGTCTGCCCTGTTTTCTCTAAACCTCTCTTTTACTCACAGTATTGCTTGACTGATAAATACTGTTGTTCTATTAACACTCTAAACCCCAAAACCCCACTGGCAGTTTTAAAAGGTATGTTTTTCTGTTTTTTTAAATCCCCCAAACTAATCCATTTATCACAGGAAGAACTGTAAAAACAGAAAGAGTCTTTAGATTTGCAACATTCTGGTTAAATGTATACCTTTCCATCAAAACTGTATCAATTCTAAGCTTAAAATTGTGACATTTCATCAAAATCACCTTATTGTATATGAGTCATGCAAAACATTTCCCCAAATAATTGTTTACTCTCACAAAAAAAATAAAAAAAATTCTGTGCTCCTTGACCCAACAGTGAAACCGTTAACTGCGACCGATTCTTTAAATTTGAAAGAAATACTTAAAATTTGCAAACTTTCTGGCGGTCCTTGAACTACTCATGCGTGACAAGTCATTGAAATAATTCTGAGCTTAAAATTGTGACATTTCATCAAAACCACTTTATTCTACACATCTTGTAAAAGAAAAAATGCCAAATATAAATAATACTGCAGCCAGATTCTGTAAAAAAGAAAAAAAAAAACTGCACTTCTGTGTGAAGCCGTCAGTGACTCAGCTGTGACCAACAGTCATGTGCCTGCTGCTCTCCTCAGCTTCCTTCATTCCCCCTCACCTCCATCACCTCCCTGGAGCCTCACACTGAACCCTTCTTAACTGTTATAAAAGTGAGTTCTTGTCTGGGTTCAGTCCGTTGCAACACCAGTGTTAAAAATGTGATAAATCCAAAAATATACCCAAAGCATCTTCGTTATTATTTAAAGTAGCAGAAGCTGAATGCTGATGTTCTCCTTTTACACGTGCTTTAAAAGTGCAGATGCCACCAAGACTAGTATCAGTGAAAATGGATTGACAATAAATCAGCATTTAATTTGAATTCTTTTTCTATTTCTTCTTACTGAATATAATACATTACCTCACTCAGGAGTTTTTTCATGGAGCTGTTTTCCCCCAGCAGGTAGTAGATCTCATCCTGGCTGTACACAGAAGCCTGGCTCTTACTGGGGCTGCTGAAATATTTGGCCATCTGACTCGGGTTGTTCTGATCCTCTTCAAACTGCCGCCACTGGGTCAGCTGCACGGTGGCATTTCAGAGAAGTGAAAAAAAAAGAAAAAAAAAAGCACTTTGTTACACTCATTTCCAGCAATTGATGTACTGCACACACTTGCACAAAATGTCATCATCTGACCTGGGATTCTGACCAGGTGTGTTGGAGCATGAGGCCCATTGTTCAAATATTTCCTCCCTTTCCACCGGAGATGCATTCCTTCATTGTAACGTAAACTCCCTGCCAGACTCTCAGAGAGTCATAAACCTGTTTGCAGCGGCCTACGTAGGTTTGACTCATAAACACCTTCTTTGTGAGTCACGCTCCATTGACAGACATGGAAAACCGACACACGCACGGAAACGTCAAGTGCGAGCGCCTCGATCGCTCACAGATTTTTTACTAGCTTTATCCAAACACAAAGAGAAAGTCATACTCGTAGCTGTCATTCACCTGTCAGACATCTGCAGTCTGTGCCTGTCTGATTGATTCTCTGTATTGACTGCTGGTTTCCAGACACAGTGTCCTATTACTGCATGACTAAATGATAAACCTTCCTGAACAAAAGAAGCTACCAAACTGGGGAGATGCAAAGAGGTGTTTTTCCAGTCAAATAGAAAAAAATATTGCAACCTCTCCAATGCAAGTAACTAGAAACTTTGGTGCAGAAATGTCGGTATGATGCACATTTTCTCTGAGACGCCACATCCACAGCACAGTCATGCATTTTGCATGTGCATCTTGCGGTGTTTGTTTTCTAACCTGAGGCACAAACAGCATGCAGTTAGTGGCCAGTGTGCAGATGAAGATGGCTCCAGCCACGGTGCTGTAGACCAGGTTGGGCCAGGCCTGCAGGAAGACGGACACGGGGACGGCCACGGCAGAGGAGAAGGTGACCAGAGAGACGGCGGTTATGATGGTGGGAGACTGGTTGACCGGAGGATGGCTGACGTTGCTGGTCAGTCCAGCCAGATAAGTGCCATAGAGGAGAAGACAGCCCTAAGAAGAGACCAAGTCAGGACGAAGAAATATGTTTAAATCAAACTTTTTGTTGAAGCTGAGTTCTGGTAGTTTGTAGTAAGTATAAGGATTTGTTTTCTATCTTCTGATTGTGAATGAAACACTTAAGTAATTCTTTACAAAATAAAAGCTTTGGTTGTAGACGTTAAATAAATACACAGGTTCAAAAATGTATGCTTCATCTTTTTGTCATTTCAGAAGCCATTAAGTCTTTTAATATTTGAAATCTAATTTTAAATTTTACCTTTGAGCTTGGGCGTGCAGCAGTTCCCATCAGACATGTTCACTTAACCATTTAAACTACTTGTTATGACATGCATAAGTTATGCAATACCAAGAAAGCTCTCTGGACTAACTCCTAGTTTTACTATTTCTTGGAATGCAGCAATTTTGCAAATAAAAAACATCAAATCCAATATAAATTATGCCATCATCACAATAAAGGAACTCAAAACAGTCATTTACTTTATGGCTGCATGTAAATAATGATTGAACAGAGATGACTTACCTTCTGGATCACAATAATGATGACCCACAGATCTGAGTACACTGAAGAACAAGAGTCCAGCTGAGACAACGAGTAGGAAACGTCTCTCTCCATCACCTACATCAAAGGAAACCATGCACAGTCAGTGAGCTGACATTTAATCTATTTAGCGAACAACAATTCAACAGTTACATTTAGGTAGGAGAATGAGTTGTGCAGCCACAGTGTCTGCTTTTCTGCAGGCTTGTTCAAATCACGATGATTCAATTTAGATAAACAAATGGGTCATAAATGAAGCACCGAGTGTACCAGCCCTCACACTGTTCTGCAGTCCATCAACACCAAATTACAACTTTTTTTCCCCCACAAAACCACTAATAAATTCTACCTTGACAACAGCTCCGACAGATCGTGAACACCTGATTGGGTCTGTGAGGTTCCAGGCGGTGAGAACCAGCATGTCCACCAGGATCAGCAGAGCCACCAAGCCCATCAGCTGGATGTCACGAATGATCTACGAGAGAAGGTGAAGTCAAAAATCACATTTAAAATACTCCATCTCTGCAGGGTTATAGTAATATGAGTAATAAAAAGCAGTAGAAAGCTCCCAGAAAGTATTTACCAAGGTGCAACCATCACCTAACTTTTGGAAATCATCGAAATTAGTACAGAAAATAATATAGAGGTGTATGTCATGGGAAACATGCAGCAGATTTATCTTTATCTACATGACAGTAGTTGGTAGAACATTTCTGTATTTTCTTTCAACTATCACACAAAAGCAAAAAGAGAGAAACAAATGTGACAAAAGCCCTCTTGGTGGATTTAGCTGATGGTAGAAAAGAAAAAAAAAAAGAACTTAAGATGTATACATAATACGTGCTGACTAACAGGAAGCTGTGAAAGACAAAAACTAAAAAAGATCTACACATCTTGGCCTGAAAACGTCTGTCATGCCTCATGTTTTGCTGTTTTCATTCAAATCTTTTTCAACATTACTTCTTTTGACCCACTTTACTGGCTCTGGATTGCAATGTAGAATACCAAAAATCCAATTAAGGTAGAAAACAAATGGGAGTACACTCCAATGCAGAATCATCAACGTGTTAAATAATTCAAAGCTGTATCACTTGACAATAATTGTATTATAACATATTAACTGTAGGGTGTTTGAGCATATGCAGACTCTAAATTACCACCCAGAGGGAACAAAGTCTGTTTAAGTGAAAAAAAAAAAAGCTAATTTCCAATTAAGCCTAATTACATGAAAATGATTATTTAAAAAAAAAAAAAAAAAAAAAGCCTAATTACATGAAAATGATTATTTAAAAAAAAAAAAAAAAAAGCTGTGAACACTACAGCTTTCTCAGCTTTAGAATGGGTTGTGTGTTTTGTAACATTGCACCACATGGGGAGGAATTCCCATAACAAGTAGGAAACCAGACTGTAAGACTTAAGATGAGATGATAAAGATGTGAGGGGATACAAGAGCATCACTGAAAGCTGAAACACAGTTGTAGCAGTGGATAGGAGGTTTAGGAAACTAACAATAACAGAAGGCGCAGCAGCTGTCTTCGACAAATTACAACCACACGCAAATTTGCTATCTAAGCAATCTTGCATTGAGAAACAGACAGATGAGTGTGTCTGACTTGGCACAGGGAATATTTGGTGTTTCAGTGATGCTCAGAGGGTGCAAAGCAAACTGCACAGAGTCAGCCTTTACAGATGGTTCCCAGGAAGAAAAGCCTTGCTCACAAAAACTTGAAGACTAAACTTTGCCAAAGAACATGAAAAGAAGCTTGATCAATACTGGAAGCTGCTTCTTTTATGTCGACTGTGAAACCTGGAGGTGTGAATGTGCAGATGGGGGGCAGCGTGAGTGCAGAAGGTGTAGGAGGGATGACATTTCATACAACACGTCAAAATACTGAATGAAAAGATGACTAGCGGTTTGAAAAATGAGAATGAGGCATTTGCCAACAGGACAATGATGACAGACGCATCGCAACAAGACACACACGAAAGTTTCTAAAGAAAAAAGAAGTGAAAACCAAGACAGCTGGTACAAACAAGTATGACCCATGACTTGAACACCTTCTATTGAAGTCAGAAGTAGAGCAACAGGACTACTGCAGCAAAGAGCAGCTGGAAAGAGTCATCTGTGAAGACTGGTATCATCCATACTTAAAAACAAAACAATAAAATCTCACTATGAGGGTTGGACTAATGTTTGTTCCATGTAGTCTGTCTCACTTGTTTGTTTTAATTACAAATATGATCAAAAAAATAATGCTGTTCATGAATGATTTAACATTTTAGTGATATTGCACAGGGGTATAGTCATTTTTCTTGAATCCAACTTCCTAAACTTTAGATGCTGAACACACTGGACCACCAGGAAACCCAAGGACGATGCCTACCACTCTCTTGTCAGGCACTCGCTGTGTGAACACTCTGTACAGTCTCCACGTCTTCCCCAAAATTGGACCGAACACCAGGGTACTGCCGACACAAAGCATCCACATCCGAGCCTGCAGGAGAGAGCACTGCGTGATTAACCAACAACATAGCAATGCAACAGTGGAGATCTGAGGGATGGAATGGGTGGACGCGTACTTGTAGCACAGCTATGGATGCCCCGCCTTGCGATTGAGCTCGTTCATCAATAGCGAAAAGGAAGCCGCTGCTGTAGGTGAGGACGCTTCCAAAGAGGGTCAGGACATTCAGGTTGGGACTGGACATCTTCACTATCCTGACCATGTGACACACATATACATAGAGTAAATCTTCAGCAGCTCTTTGAGTTTATATATGACACATGTTTCACTTTGTACTCTACCTGTTGTTTTTGAAGCGCAGGGTGAAGAGGAGGAAGCAGAATGCCAGCAGGATGCCGCAGGAGAGCAGCGTCCACACCACAGCACTCAGCACCGGGGAGAGGGATCGCCTCGGGAGCTCCACCGCCATCTGTACACACACAAGTACATGCAAACCACTTAAAGTTACATCTAAAATATTCCAGAAGCAGCTCATGTACGTGTAGATTCCATAATTGTTGTTTCTTTCTTGAATGATATGCTCAAAAGCAACAAAAAGGAAACACGTGATTCATCTCGATGAGCAAGATTTTATTCAGGCAAACAGAGCAACAAGCATCACACAACAACTTTATATCTGAATGTTTAAATGCTAAAAAAAGATAAATAGATGGCTGCAAGGACTCAACAGCAAAAAGAGATCAAATGTTCAGAAGTTTCAGATATTGACAGGCGAGATGATAAGAGGAACTGAGTTGACCCCGTCGTGATTGCGTCGGGGGTTAAAGTAGGGGAAAAGTCTTTCTCTGAAAGAGTATCCGGTGAACGTGTAGATATGGGAACGAGAGTCCACGTTGTAAAAAGAAACCTGCCCCCACCCCACATCCACATACACCCCGACTCTCTCGGGTTTCTCGACCAGCGGGACGCAAACGGGAGGGCTGCTGAGCGCCCAGTAGCTCTCGTCCTTCCTCATCCCCAGAGCCCAGTAGCCGTTTTCAGGGTTTAGTATGCTCCCTCCTTTTCTGTTGACCGATTCCAGTCCAACTCCAATATCCCACTCCGTCTTCCCTCTCACCTGGACCTCATAGTAGAACCTGCCAGACGAGAAACCCTCCTTTCCCAAAACGCTAACACCGGGGTAAAACCTCTCTGGGTTGTCAGGGAGGTTCAGGGCTACATCACTGTGATGGGCCTGTTTCTTGTTCTCAGACAGCACCAGTTTGGGATGAGCTGTGTCGGGATCCAAGGTCACGTCCACGGCACACTGCTGAGCCCGCTGAAATTCAGCCTCGCAAAGCCTCTTCACCTCAGCCTTTACCGTCTCCTCCAGCTGGCAGGCGACTCTCCTGACCGCTCTCCTTAGCGTGCCCACGTATTCAGCGCTTTCCACGCCGGTGTCAGCCCAGTCTTTGGCGGCTGGCATTGTGGAGAAAACTGGAGAGTGCTGGAGAAGGTAAAGGTCGTCTTCGGTGTGTGAGAGCTGGTCCAGTTCGGTAGTGCTGTGCCTCAGCTGATTAATCTCCTGCTCCAGCTCCACGATAAGCCCGTTGGCCCTGCTTTCCACTTGCCTCTGCTTTGCGCCGATCACCTCGACCACCTCAGCTTGACCTCTCTGGACAAACTGGAGCAGTTTGTCGAACACTTGCCGACTCTCTTCGATCTCTCTTTCCGCATTCCTTCTGCTGAGCTGAACGGTTTCTTTGATCTCGCCGATTTTCTTCTGTCGGCAATGGATCATTTTTTCCACTTCTTCGTTCACGCTTCTAATCTGAGCTCTCCTGTCTCTGCTCTCATCCTCTATACGAACAGTGTGATGAGCCTTGTGGTCTTTCTTAATGCAAAACTGGCACACATACGTCTCATCCGTCTTACAGAACAGGTCCAGCAGTTTCTCGTGCTTCCTACACACTCTATCTTGCATGTTCATCATGGGGCTAATCAAGCGGTGTTTCTTGAAGGTGCCAAGGACAAGATGGGGCTCCAGATGGGTCTCGCAGAATGATGCCAAACAGTCCAGACAGGATTTAAGAGCCTTGACTCTTTTTCCAACACACACATCACATGAGACCTCCCCTTTATGGCCTGTTGATCGGTCCGCAGCGTTGGTTTCATTTTCATACCTCCTTTCTGCCAACTCCTTGAACTGAGATGCCACCTCCGATATGAAGATGTTAACTTTGAGGTCAGGCTTCATGTAAAGCTTGTGCTTACACATGGGGCACTGGGGCAGATTAACGTTCTGCCAGCATCTTTGTATGCAGTCCCTGCAGAAGTTGTGCCCGCAAGGAGTAGTGACTGGCTGGTTGAACAAATCCAGACAGATGGGGCAAAGAAGCTGCTCCTTAGACAGCACACTGCCAGCAGTAGCCATATCTGGGAACACATCCAGAAAGAAAAAAACAGGTGGCATTTTATGGAATAAGTTGGCTCAGCTTCTTGTATTTTTGTCTTTCCACTACACTGTTAGGCTTAGAAACACTTGTGCCTGGTGAGCCGTCCACGTCCCCAAATAGCAACAAATGCACGGTGTTACGTTTCATCAAAGGGTATTTCATCTTAGCTTAAACACTTCTCGTGTCATCCGAGTTCGACAAATAATAAAGCGGGGTTGCAGGGACATTAAAATAAAGTAAAAACACCACATTAAAATACTATCTTTGCCACATGAAACATTAGCATAACAAAGCAAACACAGTGCGGCTCGCTGTTCCTTTTCCCCCTTTGGGTGAATTTGCACTTTGAGACTGATTTATGCATAAATTAACATCATAAAGCACGAAGGAAATCAAAGAGATAACTCACCTTGTTTTCAGTGCGGTGTAGCGGGGAGAGAAAGGCCTGTTTGTGTTCCTTGAAACAGTGTCTAGTTTCTGTTTAGAAAGTCACATTACACTTTCTGGTGCCCGCCTCATGGTGCTGATCTGCGCTTACGCCGCTCTTAAAGGCACCGGCGACTGAGACGGTACTAAACATAGCTTCAGTAGTCCATCCCCATTTCCCTTTCTGGATCTCTACTATTTAAATCGTTTCTCCAGTGGAACAGTACCGCATTTCTAGTATGTTCTTATTTGATGTGTTTTATTTTAGTGTGTATTTTCACTGATATCATACAGAAGTTCCTGAACTCTTACACTGTAAACACAAACAGACCAGCAGACAAAAGCCACATTTAAAAGTGATTCACAAAACTATTTGATTCTTGTGTCACTGATCACTCTTAATGTTCATGTGATCAGTTTATCAGATGAGATAAAATAATAGACAACAGCTCATACTCAATATTATAGTATGAATACAGTATGTAGACACTTTAACCTTTCACCTACATTCTGCTGGCCAGATATGACCTCTGATGTAGTGTGTGTGCTATATTTCAAACTCCATCATTATGAGTTTCTGCATTAATGTGCACATAAAGAGCGAGAGATTACCGTGCTGAGACTGCATAGTCTCTGCAGAATGTCCAGGCCCTCCTGCCTGTTGACTCCTGACTGGATGAAGCAAAGTGGGGAATCACACTGGGAGCTGCAGTTCAGCTCAGGCTCCATGATCGGCCCCAGTCTGTCCACCATCACGCGCACATCCTGTGGAAGAACCAGCGATGACATTTGAAAATACAATACATTGCTCTTAGTAAAACAACCTACAGCAAATCAGAAGTCACACTCATAAAATCCCCTCATCCTCGGTTTAGTCATGACATGTTTTGTTTAGTCAGAATTCCAAAAGAGAAAACACCAGAGAGCAATGTAATGCATTTTATGTAAAGTCCTGCTTCTGTTTCCAGGGTTGTAATGCAGTGAATAGTTGTAAGACTTGGTGTCACCACAGTGTGGTGCTCTGACAGAAACCTCTGAGAGAAGTGACAGGGACATGGAAGTGATTGTGCTCTGCACTGAGAGTGAACTGACAGGGAGAAGCTTTAAATTTAAAGCATGAGCAAGCCTGACAGACACTCAGGTTGGAATGAAAGAGAATAAAATTAAGGTAAAGTGTTGAGCATTTCCAACCACAATACCACAAATGTAGCAGCTAAGACTCATGTGTGACAGGAAACCTCAGTTCTCACTAACATGACGTCATCGTGGTCGCTGCTTTAGCAAACACTGGATCATGCTGAACATCTCTGTGCACGAAGCGAAAGACGGAGTCAAAGGAGAGAAAATCTTGCAATTCCAATATACCAAACCCATCATTTACAGTTTCGCTAAGGGCCACATAATCTGCAATCAGCGCAGTTACTTAGCGCATCCGAGATTGAAGAGGTAAACTTTATCACCAAACAGCAGTTTGTCACTCTTGCCACAGGCATTTTTACGAGGCTGCGCCATGCTGCACTGACATGTTGCAGCGTTAATTATGCGGCATGGTATCACCTGATACTCTGGAACTAGACTGAGAGTCTGATGATTGTAATTGCTGCAGTGACTCAGCTACATGTTGCTGAGACAATGTACGACTACTTGTATTGATACAAATTGGCAGACAGGTGCGTGTTTATGAGCGCGTTCTTAGGCATCGCAGGTCTCGACACTGTCTGAAGAATGACGAAGGTCACCTGAGTGGGTTCTTCGAAAAACTGTGGGAATTCTTCACTCGACTGGGATATGAGGCCAAGAAAACACACAATACAGAAAGAAGTGAATTATTATATGAAGCCCACGGTGACCTATTTCCAAAAAATCCTGGCGTTAACAGAACAATGAGGCCCTCTAGGCAACATATCTGGGAAATGTCTGGAGTTCCTGTTCATGTCCTTTCGTCACTTTCCAAGTTTAGATCACAGTTAAGCTTCTTCCCGCAGGAAAAGCCGGCAGAGAGAGGCATTTCCGGCAGTTTTACAAAAAAAAGAAAAACACCCTCCATAGGTTTCAGCTTGGAAGAAAACCCGCCACCCTGCAGAGGTCAACAAAGGTCGACTAACATCCAGCTGTGGGGTCACTGTGTAATCAGCGAGAGCAGGGCTCGACTCCAAGCCGAGTTGGATTTTATGGACATGTTTTGACAGTTCAGAATAGTCATGAGGAGTGTCTTTTGAAGTCCTCAAGGCTAAACCGCAAGTATAATACCTGAGCTACCTGTGGCCTCTGATGTCTTATTTAAATGTGGGATGGGCCTCACCTGTCTTTAACTTTGCTTTCACTTGTTCACTTACCTTCAGGCCTCCATTTAAACCTCATTTTTTTGAATTTTTAATGTTATTTTTTTTTTACCTATCAGGCATCGTTTCCCCAATTCTGACAGACCACTGGGCCCACCAAGACAGACATGGATGGCCTGTGACTTAAAAATAAATGGAGTAAAGCCCATTCATTGTCCTGTCAGTCACTCTGTTTATCTTCTAAGATTAGGGTGTTGTAGCGGCCAGATGTAAAGCCTGGTTCAGGGGGCAATATTGAAACATTCCTTCTCAGTCAGTAATCCGTTTATAAGTTTATTCTTTAAGCTGAGTTAGAATGTAATTACTGGCACCGCCTCAGGCCTGGCGCATGCCATTTCTGGGCACATGGTGCATTTCGCAGCCTGGGTCTATGAACAGTCAGGTGCATTTGTCAAAATTTCATCAGAATAAATAGTTAGTTTGAATTTAGGAGCCTGCAGCAGTCCTGGATGAAACCATAGGACCACTTCAGAAAGCATACAAAATTGTCAGTTTATCAAAAGGAAAGTAAACGTTTTTAAAATATTATGGAAGGAGTACAACACTTTATTCTTTTAACAATAAATTGTAGATTAAGAGACATCCTACAAATGAATGATCTCCATCAGCAGCAGATTTGTCAGAGGTGAATTTAGGTAAAAGTGATGCTCATTCATGGGTGCATCACTGAAGCTACCTTGTAAAACACCCAATTCGTCAATCAAAATTGTGAATGAAAAGGAAAAGAACAAAAGAGAGACAAGAACCCCGTAAAAGTGAAGTTTAAAAGCGCAAACCTCGGTCTTCAAAGCGCACGGAGGATCCCATCGCCTCGTCCGGCTTCAGGCTCCATCGCGCACCGAGACTCAGAAACGTTGCAATTAAAACTGAAAATAGATCAAAAGATAATGCGTTGTCTAACATCGCGACGTAGTTCCCATGGCTGCAAAAACTTGGAATGAATCCCCCACGACTTAATCTCGCCGTCAAACTGTCCGTCCGGGAAGATCCTGTCACTCAGGAAAAGTTCACCAAACTGCAGGAGTTCTGTCTTTGCGCATGGAGGGAGGGAGGCGTGTGAGTGTGTCATAAGAGAGAATAGGAGGTGTTTGCGCGCTCTCTCCCTCCCTCTTTCTGTCTTTTTTTTAAGCTTTCCAGCTACAAATGTACCACAAAGGGGTTTCAGAGTGTGATGTGAGCGCTGTGGTTGTGACAGGGGGGGCTCCCAGGAGGACTGGATGGCGCGTTATGGGACAGGGCGTCGCACTCCATGTCCACGGTGCAAATAAAATGCACTGGAAACAGGGCTTGTTTCAGTGGAAAAAGAAACACACCATCTCTGTTTTGTCATTTGTGAGAGATGGTAGAGAGAGATTGCTCTGCAGGCTGATAAATCACATCAAAAGACAAGACAAGTTTTCCCTCTGAGCGCACTGAGCCAGCGCGAGTATTTCTGCATTTGTTCCGCCAGCTATAAGATTCATAAAGGTGTTATTAAGACGTCGCAGAGATTTACAGTGTGAGCCTACACACGGGGTCATTCCTGATGAGGGAGTGCCACCACTTCTGACAGCTGGAAGCGAGGAACCAGAGACACACAGGGAGATTATACTGATGAAAGGAATATGCGGTTATTCATTCATGCACTCATCAGTTTTTACGCACACATGCTCTTCTTTATCCTGGATTTAGCGCAGGTTCACTCGAAGTAATTTTCCACGAGTAAAATACATTTTTCTAGCCTTAACTGCGTAGAAGATCATGTGGAGCCTTTATTTTGGGCTTTTTAAAAACAATATATTGTAGTAATAATAATATGTAAATACGCATATAAATTGATTAAGTTAATATATGTTAAAGATTGTTTATGGATATTATAGACTGATTTAAAAAACATACTTCTTCAACATTTTGCTGTGAAAACGTCTGTAGTCATGTGTAGTATCTCTCCTTTAACAAACTCACTAAACTTACAGAACCAATCCTTCTTCTGTTTCAGATATATCTTCACTATTCATTTTAAATTGAATAGTTTCTTGTATTACAGAAAAAGGAAATGTTTGTGATTTGCAATTCTAGTTTAAGTTTTTTTTTGTCAATATCCTTGAAAAGTTGATATTTTATGGTTACAATGCAGGTTTTTGTGGTATTTTACATTATATGTGTCAATTTGCAATCTATTTTCAGAATTATATTTTTGTGTAAGCGAAAAATACAGAAAACAATCTGTAAAATTAAAAGTAAAAATTCAGTGAGTGTACTCTGTGTTTATGTATAGAAGAAGATTGCCTCAAACACTAAAGAATTCTGATAAACGTAATTTTTAAAAAGAGAAAAGTTAGAAATATAGTCCCACAGCAGTTCCAATTTCAGTTTCAGATTAATTGTGTGGTTCCTGACAGGAAAGGTGGAGCCGATTAAAACAAAGAACACATACAGACCTCCACAGATACAAATTATGAAATGAATGGACTGACTTCATTTCACACGATATTGGGCTTCTAAATGCCCAGCCAACGTCTGCCGCTATTTACTATGTGTGCTGACAAATAACACTGGCATTAGAATTCAACAACATGGACACATACATTTAAAAAAAGAAGACTGAGATTTCTGTACAAGAAAACTTATGTCCAAACAATTGACTCACAGCACCTTTTTTTTTTTTTGTAAGATAAGATTCATTGAAAAAAAAAAATCAAATCAAATAGAAACATATAAATAAATTCACACATGTTTCTGTTTGAATGCAAAAGGAAATGCATGCCATCAGGTCAAGTCTCAAGATCAAACTTGTGTCTAAGTTGGACCCATGCTATAGGTTTCTTTCAACACCTTCCAAGACACTCCTCTTGGAAAGTGTTGAAAGATGTTTTAATGTTACAGGCTGTTGCCACGCTCCGATGAAGGCAGAACAGCTGATTATGAAGTTACATAGAGTACAGTCATAATGCAGCATTAAGTCACTCAGAAAGTGTTCATTAGCAGCCGGGACTCTGGATCCTTTGTCAATGGAAACTCTGACTATTAGAATCATTCTATAAGTTCAAAAAACACCCCAAAAAACAGAACCAATAATCAACTAGTCGTCTGTTAACATAAGAACTCTGAGACATGACTACTTCCAGCAGGATTTGGGATAACAGCCCCTAAGCTCACCATTTTTACAAGTGAGTTAAGATCAAATGACGCCAGGTTAGTTCCCTACCGAGGGACTGAAACACTGTCACCAGCTCTGTTACAGCCAAAGCGTGGCAATCACTCTCAGGTTTCCCTAAAGATCAGGTTCACATAGACTGCAGCAGCAGCAGCAGGTTGGCTGCGCTGATACTCAGATTACTGGGAGCTTGAATATTTCATCTCAGGACACGAGGCTGTTACTCAAAAAGCAGGAGTCAAGGAGGACAAGCTGGCTGGGAGGCTGAACTGAATGAAACAGGACACATGTCGTTCTACTGATGTTACCAGGGATCAACTGTAACGTTAAGATGTTATAATTACCAAATACGGGTGTCAGTGACAGTCTTCTTCTGGACTACCATGTTGTGGACACTCAGCAGCTGGAAGTCCACCAAACAAAACAAAAAACAAGCGATGCTTTTAAAAACTCATGACATGCCATTTCCTGTTGAACCACTCCTGTCAGGCCGCACCGCCGTTTCCTGACGTGGAAGCATCTGCAACTGTGATTCAACATCTGACCAACGAGCCGGTGAGTCCCACCGTTTTGTAACGTTGGAGATTGACTGTGTGGGTGGAGATGTATTGTTCTCCATGCGAAGCATCATCAACCCCTTCCAGCGCTGTGCTGTCCTTGCCAGAGCCTGGACGCTCCCCTGCGACATGCCCAGGTTTGCCCACTAACATACCCGGAGACAAATCCCTCTCTGGAACGCTGCAGCTCCTCCTGCAGTGTTGCTATGGGCCTGGATTAGCAGCATTGGATCAAAGCTCTTTAGCAGGTTCCAGTCATGGTGTTTCTAATGCAGCCAGTGATTAATATGGTAAATGTAGGGGGTAAAGCATCAGCCTACTCACTATTTGCAAAAATGATTTTCTAGTCTTACTGGTATAAAGCATCATAGCAACAGGTGATGCAATAACCGCCGGATAATCTGAACCATGACTGAGCTGCAACAGTTGTCAAAGCTGCTGATGCACAAATAAGCTCTTGTGCAGCCGAGCATTAGTTTGGAGTTTAATCTAAAGACAATTCCAGCATTAGTCCTTAGTCCAACACTTTATACCTTCATTTTTTGCTCTGTTTTGGTTTCCAATAACTTCACAGGGATATGTGAGGTTCTTTAGCCGCTAAATCCTCCATGTTGTTTATAAAAACTTTTCCCGAAATTCAAAGCCCACCTGAAAGTGTTTTCCAGAAGTTTGAACCTTAGGTGCCCTCAAAAAGTCCTAACTCAAGGGCCACTTACTATCTTTTTCCAGAGCTTTCCACAGTAGCTTGACACAAAAAGGCCCTCTTATCTGAACTGAATCTGACAGTCTTCCTCAGTGTGTAGAGTTTAGTGTCACCTCCATCTTCAACAATGACGCTAAGAGATGCAATTGTCTTGGAAAAACTGATGAAAGCTAAAAGAAAACTAGACAATTGATGTTTTTTTTCCCCCTCAGCTGGTCATCTTTCTCTCTCTCACCACCTTTCATGGCTGCTTCTCTACTAAACACAACCAATTCAAGGCAAAAAAACTATCTCTAAAATACGATGCACTGAGAGCACAATCACATGCTTACTGTTTGATGGAATAAAACTGCTTCACAAAGGTTTCCTCTAATGTTCTGCGCAGCAGGGGGACCGTTTTATTACAATATAAGCTGCTACAAAGAGTCTGCTGAGACGAATAAAGGAGGAAATGATGTGGGGTCAAGACCAACTGTGACAGCGTGAATGGCAGAAGAAAAGAAAAGGAAAGAGGAACTTACTAACCATAGCAATTAAACACAGTTACTCAGCAGCGGTAGATTATTCGCCCACCACTTCGTCTTTTTGCCTGTAACCACATCTCCTCAACTCCACGTCCACCACTTCCTCCCCACACCAGCCAGACTTTCTGCTCGCAGGATTAGCAGTGTAACTTTAAAGACAAGGCTTGATTGTTATCGGGGTGTCTGCAGTGTGCGGCTGTCGAATGTAAAGGCTCAGCTCGGTGTAAATGTGAAACTAGTCATGTGTGAGGTCTGGCATGCATGTTACCGCACACTGGCTATACTGTGAGCTGATATGGGCTGGTATGCCTCTGACTGAAGGCGATAAGAGGATTAGAGAATCAAACACCCCTTAATGTCGAAGCACTTTGCTCTTTGATCTGCGTTACTGTATGTATTGTTACTGTTAAGGTTAAGGTAAGTGTGCCCCATGAAACTCAGCAAACCAAAAGAAAAGACATTTAAATGGTCGTAATCCTCCAAAATGACAAAGACAATCACTACATGTAGGAGAAATATGACCACAGAGACAACACAGTTACCTTGCTGAGATGATTAAAACAGAAGATGGCATCGTCCCCCTTCAGGAGTGATCCCAGGTTCCAAGGTCCATGTTCAAGAACAGAAGCTGATTTGACTCCTGGGTGTTTGTGACAGCTACTCTCCTCATCTGCCAATCACAACTCACTGCACTCCATCCTGGCTCGCATCTCAGGTTGCATTTGTGACAGCACCCCCCTTGTTTGACACACAACGTATACCAAGACTGTGTATTGGTGTGCGTGCGCACAAAACATGGGAGGTAATGCAACTCCACACAATGTGCTGGAGTGTTTCCTAGGTGCCTGCTGTTGGCAGAACGGTCCTGTGTGCAAGAGTTGAGGGTAAAAAAAAATGAGGGAGAAGAGACACAGTGCTAAAACACAGGAACCCAGCTGTGACTTGGTCAAAGACCATTCAAAACAAACAAAATATGCCAAACTCAAAGCATCATTCTTGCCAACCAGTCTGAAAGAAACAGCGAGGTGGAAAGAAAATGAAAGAGACGCCGAGATAGGAGCAGAAACTGTGAAAGGAGATGAGAGAAAAGGAAACAAACTAGTTTGTGGCTCTTGGCGGGTGATGTTAAAGGATTAACAAATTGCGCGAAGCAGAATGTATTCGCCCTGGCACCTCTTACTTCTGGGTTACAGAAAACATCTCTCAGTATTCAGATTCAGGAATTAACTCACCTTCATATGCAAATGAAACCTGGACAGATTCAAGCTACAAAGTGGATTGGCTCATGTAAACACACAGAAACACAACTCTCCTGATAACACACACTGCACATAGAAATAGCTTCCCTTTAAACAACTTGCAGACAACATGAGTGAGACTTCAAATGCAAAAACACTAAAATGAAAATGTTTTCTTCATTCTCCACCCTGTTGTTCCTGATATCACACACTCTCATTTGAATCACAAAGGGTCACAACACAAACCAAAGATATTACAACCAGTCTTTATTATTGTAATTGTATATTATACATTCTACTTCTGAATAGGGTAAAAGTACATATAATTAATATATCTCAATATATAATTTCTGCTTAAGTGCAATCTATTCTGCAGGTCATTTATAAATGTAGCATATTTAACATTTGAAAAAAAAGATTTGTATAAAAGCAGTTCACTTTATTATAAAAGGTTATTTTTCCTCTTTACTGTGGTTAAGCTGATGAGTACAAAAAATCAGTTAACAAGGACTTTGTAATTCATAATGTTAGATTTGTCACATTTCAGGGTGCATATGTCACATTTTTTCCCCCCTCATACCGATACATACTTGTTTTAATGTGTTAGAAGTCACCATTAGTAAGGCACTTAGCAACTGCTGCAGTGTAGGTGCTACTGTAACATAAAAGAATGTTCTTCTGTTTTCTAAACATTTAAGGTCTAATGTGAAGCCAGGGAGGATTTCTCCTCCTCACTAATGGACACAAATTACCTGGGATGCTATAAAATCACCCGTCTTTCCGCAGAAGCAGAAAGACGAAGCCGAGATGTAACCAGGAACAGCATCTCCTGCTTTCTGTCCCTAAAAAGAATCAGCTCGGAGCCTGCAAAGCCGTCTGACTGTGGGCTTCATTCACATACATGTGTATGTTTATGCACAGAGAAAACTCACAGCTCTGAACATAAACATAAAGGCTGCCACTGTGTTGTGCTGAATACCTATTGTTTCTGTGCTAACACAGTAAGTGGTTTTCCCTGGTCCGCCCCACGTCCACTTCCTGTGAGTAAGCCTGGACAAGCATTCTTCCACATACACAGCCCTTATTCTGAGTTCATTTAAAACAACTAAGCCATCACGCCAACGCTTTTTCAAGGGTGGTGTGCCATGACCACTGCGCTGACAAAAACACTGATAAAAGATTGCCACCTTGCTCTTTTAATTTTGTGTGGGACAGGCCAACTACCAATACAGTGTAAATAGGTCCACCTCACACATCAATCAACTGAGAGTTTACTGTAGTTCAAAACAACTTTCAAAGTTTCTGCTGGCACACGTTTCAAAACAATCCCACAGGCTTTTTCTAAGCTAGGATATCTGCTTTGATGCCTTCTTGGAAATTCTGATGAGAGCTGGCATGAAACAGCTGGAAATAAACAACTTTTTTAAAATTTTATATCCAAACTGAAAATGCAGAATAGTGTGCGCTGTAGCTACTAAAAAGCATAAAGTGTCGCATTTAAGATAAAGTATGCTGCCCTGAAAAGAGAAAGAATCCAGCTGCTCCTTCAGCTTTCACAGTCCAAACAGGAGCTTTACTGCCCTCCTGTGCTCGAACGTGAGACGAGCATGTTTATAAAGCCAAGACTGGCAAATGTGGCTTTTTCAAGAACGACGTTTGGTGAGACTGAATGAAGAATTCTTCCCTCAAAAAAATTCCCAAATTGGATTAAACATATCATCAGAGCCACAGTAGGCTGTCTCATATTCTGTGCGTTTAGTTATGAACAAGAACACGTATGTGTGTGTGTGGCTGTGTGTGAGTATGTACATCTGGTAAAGTCTGAAGCAAGCTCCACTCTGTAGAATTATGGAATACAGTGAGAGACTGACAAGACTTCGCTTGGCCACGGGGTCAGAGGTTTCTCCTCCGCGTCGTGTTATCCCAGAAGCACTCTCTGAAGGCGGTCGGCGGGAACGCTGCTCTCGTCCTCAGACTCGGCATCGCTCTGGGGGTTGGAGCTGCAGGGAGAGGTGCACTCGGGGGAGCACAGGTAGTGCATGAGGGGCAGCCGGTACTTTCCACAGAAGTCCACAAATTTGATCTGGCGCACGCATGAATCGAAATACACACCTGGAGGAAGCCGAGAGTGACAGGAAATGGAAAGTCATGTTAAAGTGGCAGGTTAATGATTTGTACTGTTTTGTGCATATGTGTATGAAGATAGTATATTGTTTGTATATTAAACCACAACAAACAAACAACAACACACAATCAAGCAAGAAGTAGTAAAGTAAAAAGACAAGCATGGATATGGATGTTATCACAGCAGCTCCTAACTTGTGAATTCGTAAGATAAAATTAGGGTTTAACCAATTCAGAAAATCTGTTAATGTTTTGTGTTTTTTTAAATGCTTATTTGCCTTTTTCTAACAGGTTCTAGAATATTCTCATTTCATCAGGTCTTTAAAATGTACTAAAATTCATTTAAATTGCAAAAGACATTAGTCGTTGTTACAGTATTATAGCAAGTATGGAAAATGTAAAACCATCATTGCATAGAGTACAACAAAATGTAATGTTTTGTGCCATCAGTAGCCCAAAGCCTGAACTGCTGAGCCACCACAAATCAGTTTTTGGCTGAATTGGGCACAATTGGTAGACAAGGGCAGAGCTACATATTAAAGAAGAGTAAGCCTTATATTTCAGACTAAGAAACAACTCAGTATCAACATGCAGTTTCCTCAAACGCTCACGTCTTACCGGCACACTTGGGGTTGGGACACTTGCTGGCCAAGTCCAGGTAGAGCAGCAGGTTCGAGGGCAGGTCGCGAGGGTAGTAAGGAATATTCCGGCTCTTGATGGTACGTCCTGCCAGCTCTAGCAGCGACGGAGGGTCGTAAGTCATCTCCTTGACGAAGCGCACCACCAGCGGGTTGCCTCTGAGACTCAGCTCCTGCAGGTGCACCAGGCTGAGGATCTCTCTCGGCAGGTAGGTGAGCAAGTTGTTGTGGAGACTTAAAGATCGCAGCGAGTGGAGCCTGGAACAAAACACAGCGGCGCTTTGAAGTACTTTGATTTACAAATGCTGACTACAAGAATGAGAAGCTATCAGGGCTGTGCTGTAGAATATCATGCACAGCTCTGGCTTTTAGCATTCATTGAAGGTTGTGACAGAATGAAGTTACCTGGTGAGCTGCGGTGGGACACTTTGGATGCGGTTGTCACACAGGACCAGGTAGCTGAGGTAAGGCAGGTTCGCTACTTCAGGAGGAATTGCTGAGATGAGGTTTCCACCCAGATACAACAACTCCAAACTGACAAAAAAAATACAAAAGAGCACAAAAATACATTTTTAAATCATATGATGTTTTATTGTAGTATCACAGTACAAAGTATAACAGTGATGTTCACATGCTGCTCTACTTCTTGGCATCTTTTTGTATTCCGTTCTTTGTGCTGCTAATTGTCATTGTTTTGTCCATGAACTCATTCTTTCCTATATTTGTATAGCCGTCCACTTTTTTGCAATTGTGTGGGCAATTTTTCTAATAAACGCGACTATTTATGGCACCAATAAATCAAAAACAAACACAGACAAGGTCAAACTCAAGTGTCAAAACCGTACACATGCAGACCATGTCAGGACACTAACTTTTTCACTGGTAGCACAACTCAGTAGACCAACTTTCTTATTTGGTCGCAACTCCCACCTTGTCACAGGCAAACCACATCACTTGTTGAACAGACGCTACAATTTACAGATGTTCCTTAAACGCCCCACATTGCAGGCTGTGGTAGCTGCTGCTTGGTGGCTGTGGTGTGCTCAGACAGATGTGTGACCGAAAAATACTTTGAAAAGAGTTCAACTGGGGCGTTCTAATGTCCGATTTGTCCAAGATGAAACAGAGTGATTGTTTTTGTACAATGTGGAGCACACCTACACGGGCTGTTCTGCTCAAAAATTTAACCAAAATGGTCGCAGTACAGAGCCTTGCATGTATATATTTGTTGAATGTTGTTCAGTGTAGAAAAGCCTTTTTTTAAATTTTACTACTGTAGACACTATGTTTGTTTTAATGTGACCTTAACTGAAAGAAATGGCTTATAATTCTGTATTTCTAATATCTTACTGAGTCTCCAATAATCTCTAATGAATGAGAAAAAGGTCCCAGCCTACACTTCCTCTGTAGTATACAGCATGCAATATGTTAATTTACTCAATATATGTGTGGCAGTGATTAACCAGCATATGTTGTTTAGACATCCACCTCCAACAGTTGAAATCTGATTTAATTGCACTGCGGTGTCAGCGCTGATCACAGTTTAAGGCTAACGATGCAATAAAAGTGTATTGTTTTACCCAACCGTGCCAGATGACCCCATTAAACTTACAAAATGTGCCACAAGGGGGCACTAAAGCTGCATCATATTATGCTTAAAGAGTTCATGTCGATGTGTTTGTCAAATTTTTTCTGAGGGTTTGCTTGCAAAAGCTATAAAAAAAAACCCCAAATGACAGACAGCACAAATGGGTCTTCTTTTGTACTTTGCATGCATGTATGCATTTCCTACACACAGTGAAGTGCACAAATACATAAAACTAATTTTGAGATAAATTAGGTAATTTGGGTGCTGATCTGAAAATCAATACGTTCAGTTTCAGAAGACAGCAAAATTGATATGCACGTGTTTGTGTTATCAAGACAACAAACAACCCTGCTGGGTTAATGGAGGTATGGAGTACACAGGGGGGTAATTGGGAGTCAAAGAGAGAGACAGGGAGAGTGTCATGGATGGCTGGTCAGCAAAAGTAAGCTGTCAGGCCATCTGCCCGCTGGAACTGATGACACAGCGACTGCGAGACAGGAAACCATTATGCTGTCCTTGGTGGCTGAGCACAGAGCAAGCCCCCTCTGTGAGAGGAACTGAGACATTCAGGGTCTGCTCACAGCCCACACCGACACAGTGACACAAATCAACCAAACTGGTTGGTTATAGGGTTGTACCAAGGACAGTATAAATCACTCGCAGTTTTCACAGCTAAGCACAACTGTAGTCTTTTCTCAAGGAAATTCTATCCAAGAAACTTTGGGTGAAGTTTTCTATTTTACAAACACGTAGACCTATATTATATTATATTATATTATATTATATTATGCAGTTTTACAGAATGTACCTATGCTTAGATTTTAAGTCCAAGTGAAAAGAATGCCTACAAATGTTTTAAAATGACATGCAAACAGGCTTTTTTCACAGCAGATCTTTAGACTTGTCAAAATTGATAAACAGGAAGTGCACCAGAGAAATGGGAGGAGTTGTGTTCTATACACGTGTCCCAGTAAGTCATGACAGCGTGACACAGAGGAAGCATGCACCACACTGAGACAGTAACAGTATTAACAGCTAAATGAAATTCAGCCTCATTCATCACATTATTTCACCTGCGTTTTTCCAACTGTGACATGATGAGATGTGATTTGTTTTTGGAGGACTGAAGAGTGAAATGGCAATCTCCTTCGTATAATCAAAGCATGACAATGACTTTAATACTCCTGTAGCTCATTAGTGAATTTCCTGACAAAATCCACATCATGAAGAGCCATGTGGACCCTTTGCAGGTGATACAGGTTCAAGTATCTGACAGTGGGAGATGCTGCACATGCAGCTGTTGCCAAGGTGCTTCAGCAGATGCAGATTTAATGTGGTGTCGCAAAGAGAGACCAAATGCTAATGAAAACGAACACCATGGCCACTAATTGTGGAGCCTCTGAAAGTAAAAGATGATTCTTACATCTGTTGAGATCAAGGTTTACTTTTGCACTCATCATCCTGAATGCTATTACACTAAATACCACACACAGTCTTAACGGGAGCTTGTAAAAGCAGAGGATCGGATAAACATTTACAAACATTAAGAACAAGATACACAGGAATATTTTAAAAACAACATTGTGAATGATCTGAGGGATGTTTCACTATGCAACACTGCAAGGTAAGCCTTGCTTATTCTGCAATTTGAGGAGTACTTTGATCATTAACTATAGAATCCGAATGAAAGACAATCAAACATTTTCATTATTTGGCCCCATCAGCATCATCCTAATTTTGTTACACTTTTGCTTGGTTCATCTGAAATGGAAAAACTGGAGCAGGGCTGTAGCTAATTTTCTTTATCTAATGATGCAATCTGTACAAATTAGGATCCTCCATGACAGAAGATCATAAGATTACCCACCCTTCATATCTATTAGTCAGTCTTGTTTTATACTGAAAATCTTTTTGAAGCACTTATTGGACCCTTATGGCTTTTTTCAGACATTAGATTCAGAACATTGATGGCTCTGTGAATCTGTCATTAAGTGACAACACTCTGTCATTCAGACATGTGTCACTTTGATTTAAAGTTCCTCATTGCTTTATTCAGACCCACAACAGTGAAGGAGAGCGTCACGGCACATGTGACACATTTTCTATACGTGTGAGATTGGACAGTACATCAAATGACGCATAATGCACAAGGTTGTTTGGCCCAATAAACGTACCAATGTCCTGTCAGTACAAGGTAATCTTGTATGTGCCTATCCATCTATGCATGCAATTCACGTCTGTGCAGTGTTGAAAATGGGAGGGAAATCTTACAAGGTCCAACCTAGTAAGAGTTCCACAGAAACCTTTACATAAAAGTGACCAGAGTACTGATTCACAGATGAAGCCGGCCGATTCAGATGCTGGCAGATGAACAGAAAGGCCTGCATGTCAGCAGCTCTGAGTTACTCTTTAATAAAGTGAGTCATTTAAGCTTCGAAAGCCAGACTTTTCACAATAAAACCCACAATTCCTTGTTTTCTTGAAAAACACCCCTGCAAAGCAGTCCAGACCTCAAACTATTTAAGACATTGTGGCTGAATTTGGAAGCGAAAGACAGAGCGAGGGAGAGATTTCAGTTCCAAAATAAGAAGCCCTGGCTCCATGCAATTATAAGTTAAGCGGCATTTTTTATTGTTTGCCTCTTGAAGCGCTGTGCATGTGTGAAAACAGGTTCGATCTTTGCCCCTACACTGGGTCACTGTGACTTTCTAATGTCAAAGTCAACACATGTGAAGATAAACACATACACACCAGTCTCATAGTTGGCATCCTTTGTTCTGCTTTCAACACCCTAACAGGAAACAAACTGGTGCCCTTTGTCTCTGAGTGTGGTCACGTTCTCCCTAGGTTGTGTTTTCTTCACAGAAGTACGACAACATGTAATTATGTAGCTGTGTCTCTATCATTATTTGCTGCAATTTGCAGCTAATCACTTTTAATAAACTGTCCTATAATAATGAATGTGCATCAAATGTACTCCATGACTTTTCTACTTTCTGAAACTACTAAGAAGTGAGACTTGGTAAATCTCCAGAACCACAGCAGGATATTTACTGGAATACCGTTGAAAATTAGCCTGCCCACACTATGAATCATGATGTTTACACCACAAGTTAACTGGAAGTGAACATGGCTCATACACACACATGCTAAGAGTTGGTAAACTGGTAAATATTTTTAAACCCACAAAGACAGAAAAAACAGAGAAAAAACAGCCACATTTAAATGCATTTTAAAGTGTTACAGGTTGCCTGAGTGTGGCTGTAAATATTGCTGACAGAATAAATAGGTGGGTCAACTAGGTTAAGTGCGGCTAAAGTGGGTTTACAATACCTTGTACGTCACAACAACAATAAAAAGTGACTCTTGCCAGATGTTGTATACAGATAATGATTGCAACAGGTAAAATTTGGCAGAGGCAAATGCACCACAAACCTCAAAAGTCAAAGATGAGAATGCAGAAATTAGGGACACGTGTTTGACTGCATCTCTGAGGTGACAACAAGTAAATATGTGCTCTGAACAGGCATGTTATTATCAATTTATTACTAGTCCACCGTTGTAGTTAATACTTTAACAGCCTCCATGGCCAGACCATTATCGCTCTGCCATAAAGAGAAAAAACACACTGGCTTGTTTGTATTTCTTTAAACCAATGACAATGGTTGGATGTAAGCAAAATGATGCTGTAAGGGTTTCCCTGACAAATAGTCGTGGAGGAATTGTTCAGAGCTATCTTAATGCAGGATCCAATTCCATTGCAAAACTTGACATTTGTCAGTGTGGTAGGCGGCTCCCCAGATATTTGTGTTGCCCCAGTGAAGCTGATTTTGAAAACGTTAACACATAGATGGTGGAATGGAAGGATACATCTGAGAGAAATGTGCAGCCAATGGCGAACCTATTGCCACAATCTAAATCCGGTTCATCATATGAATGCATTGGATGTAAGGATGCAATTAATATTATTTTTAAGCTACATATATTTAAAGATCATGGTCTTAGTCTCAATCATTTATAAAAGTGTAGTAGATTGTTTACAAGTTGAGAAACACCAACATATTTTCAATTTACATACACATAAGACAAAAAAAGAAAAACAACAGCATTGAATCCTCACAACTTAGAAAACAATTCAGATTAATCACTAAGTTGTTGATTATTTAATTGCTTGTGCACCTTTAAATGTCCACTGTAGGGTCAAACATGATGAGGAGAAAGATCTTTCAAATAAAAAATGAATCTTTTGCCACAATTATCATTATCATCATTGGGACTATTGTTGCTATCAGGTAACTAAATGAACTACTTGTTTGACATTTTCAGCTCTAACCTGATGTTCTTACTGATTAGTTGGTATTGTTGGCTGAAAGTTCCAGGAAACAGTAAATCCCTACTAAAGGCTTCTAAACATCAGGTAACCATAGCAACAACACCTGGGCTCCACAGCAATATTCCAGTTAGCTGAAACAAACCACAGGCTAAACTGACTGAAAATGGTGTAAAAATCACGGTATAAAGTCTATTACATGATCCCAGGGGTTTTAATATTAAAAAAGGACTTTGAAGAAGAAGCTTGGCTGCTTTCTTTGCATCAACCTCAACGGTTATTGTGAAATATCATCTCATTGTGCAACATAGTCGATTAAGCTAACAACCAGAGCAGGTTGTGTGTGTTTACTTTACTGGACAGTCGCCCGTTAATTTTAGCCTTGTTGCCTGCTCGTGCTAAGCTAGCTAGTGTGGTACCCACCTGGTTAGGTCTTCTATCTCTGCAGGTATACTTTTCAGTCTGTTTCCGCCGAGTGACAGCGACTGCAGGCGCCGCAACTTCGTACACTGGAGCGGGATCTCCTCGAATCTGTTCCCGCTAAAGTTCAACACCTCCAGCTGCAGAGAGCCGAACTCTTTAGGCAGCGAGAACTCGTCCAGTCGGTTGTTCTTTGCTAGCAGCGTTTTCAGCTTGCCCAGTCGCGTTATGCCCTCGCAGATGGCCGTCAGTCCGTTGTTGCTGATGTCCAAAAACTCGAGGTTGCAGAAAACGCTGACCGACGACGGCAGCAGGTTTAGTCGGTTGTAGTTCAGATACAGCTGCCTGGTGTCCCTTTTCCTCTCGTCGCTCATGCTGTCGAGGCTTAAAGTGGTCAAACTCAAACGGGAGAAGTCGAGCACGCTGTCGCCCGCTGCCGCTGCCCCATCGTGAGTCTCCATTTTGGCGATATTGGCGTGAATTTCTTTAACTCTGTGTAAAGTCCGTGCAGAAGTTTTGCTGTAGGTTTGAAGCGCCCCCGTAAGCGAGAATTAGCTCCAGCGCTTGCTATCTATTGTTAGCATAGACAACTGACAGATTTCTATACACCTTCTAGCAACATTTAGTAGCATCTCTAGTTGAATCTAGGTCACTAATTTTGTTCTGTCGTGGGGCTACTGAAGCTACATGCAACTACTGCATGCTCCAACAATGCAGCCGTTCTTTGAGAGTGAATGTCGCTGCCATGTTTGCAGATTGGCTGATTCTGAAGAAGCCCCGCCCACCCAAGCTCTGATTGGCTACTTCCCCAATCTGTCATATTACTGTCGTTGTCATTAAGGGAGTTATAACCATAGACCGCAGATTTATGGCAGTTTGTTGACATTTTACAGCTATACATTACAACTTTTCCGTATGTACCTGCCACGATTACGTCGCTAGGTCTTCCTTAGGGTTGTCGCTGATGAGCCATCCTGCCAACTTCCCACCTCTCGAGCTATTATGCAACAACCCTCCTCTGTTACATTATGCAATAGTCTGGTGGCTTGATGTGCATAGATTGATAAATAGGTACAGGATAGTTGCTCCTTCTGAATTCAGATCTCTCCATAATATTGTCATTGCTGTATTCAGGAAAAGTGCAGCCAATTGCAGAAGTGGACCGTACATTTCATTGTCAGTTTTGAGGAACTGATTCTCATCTAGAATACATTCCCATACATACATTTCCTTAGAATTTCTGCTTATGTACAATCTGTGCAACAATAACATCAGTGTTTCTATTCATCCAAAAAGCGTGCAATAGCACTGATATGTGCAGTGATTTTATCTTTTTAGAACTAGTACTAGTGAATATTTTTGGTTTATTTTCATTATTATACTTTATTCCCTAAATGTTTGCACTATCTTTGCTGTTGTGACATTGCAAGTTCCCCCACAGTGTGATTAGTACAAGGTTGTATTATCTTAATCTACTTTAAGATTGTAGTATATAAACATTGCATGTTCCATAAAATATGATGCATTGTGACTTTTAAATTGACTTGTGCCAGCTGGAAGACACTACAATGTTAAGCTCCAAATTTCATTTTGGCACCGGCCTCTAGTTGATGTACCCCTACAAAGTACTTTAATAGAAGAGCATATGTAAAGGTTTAACTTTGTAGAATTTTCAGTCCATAATAACATAATTTAAGATAAAATATTAGGCATAAAAAGTGAGGAGCAAAAGTGCGTCTTCATAGGTTTAAAAAAAGGCCAATTCATTCAAATAATCCATTATTACATTCCTTCTCGTTAATGTGTATTACCGAGAGAAAGTATTTTTAACATTTCGAAGCAAAGACGTAAAACTCAATGAACTGCCTTTTTAAGTCAGGCCTGAGAAAAACAGCAGCTGCTGACTTATCGACTTGAGAGGCTTAAGGTCACTATGTGGGCAGTGCAATTCAGGAATGTACTCAATGGCTTCTCTGAGTACCGCCTGATAAGTAATGGGTACATTTTTATATTTAATTCTAAACTGCACTGGCAGCTCCCTGCACTTTGTCTTTGGTAGAAAATGCAATAGCTTTATCTAATGGCTTCTACTTAAAGCAATTATTTTTCTCCATGAGAAACTTTTTCTCCCCCCTCCTTTCACTCTTTCCAAGTTAAATTCTACAGATAAAAGCACACACTGAGTGACAAAGCTGTGGTGAATGGGCTTTATTGGCATACATACATACTGCTTACGGTCTCTGCATTTTTAGTGGAATATAAAGATTTAGCCAGAACCTAGCAATGCAACTTTCACACAGACATTTATCGGGGATAGAGTCACAAAGCACTAGTTTACTGCTAAACTTCAGCAAAGCACACTCGTTCTTGCAATGCCATGTGACATAATAGCCTTCGTGCAGGCAGAGGTGGAGACCTGTACTGTTTGCAGGTCTAAGGCACTGGTTTTTTTACTGTCAAACCTCCCAATTTTGATACAAGATTCAAACAAGAGAACACATTTAACAAACCAAACTACACTCAGCATCATATTTTAACAGTACACACACTCACACACACACACAGACACGCGCACACATTTTACTTGCACCCTGTTATTGATGCATCTACGCTACCTTAGCTGACAGTGAGGCTAGTCCTTCTGTTAGAGTGATTTTGAAAGCACAGGTATAGTGTTGTTGCTGGGTCCAGAGTAATGTTTTACCTGGAGAATTTTTTGTACATCATTCAAATACTTCATCAAGACTTTGGTTTCAGTTTTTCGCCATGCTATATTCGGATCAAGTCTTAATCAGTGCAGTTGTGCTGCTTCACACTGAAAGCTGGACCACTATGTCTTTGTCAGAGATATGTTGAATTAAAAAAGCACCAAAGAGACTTGCCCTAAATATAACATGGGAACAAGATGAGTTCCAACTCAAGCCAATAACATATTTTACATAGAAGCAAACTTTCTTTCTTGCAGCAAAACTATTACTTTAGCAGTAAGATACAAATAAAATTCCAGCCTTGTGGTAAACTAAAGCCTACAAAAAGCTAAGGAGAAAGAAAGTGAAGTGCAATGGTCAAGTAGTGGACTACTGTGGCAGTTCTAAATGGCAACATAATCAAAAGCACGAGTAGCTTTACCCTCTCGTCCCAGCTTTTTCAAACAACCTGCTGACCTAAGGTATGGAGAAACACGCTGCACCAGATGTCAGGTCGTCAGCTTTCCCTCTACTCTGACAGCTCCCTCTTTTCAACAGGCCCCTAAACCTCACTACCTTCTCAAACAGTGACTTCCACAGCCCAAAACAGTGACAACTTGACAGTATTTTTTTTTTCATAATAACTGTAAAAAATATAAGGATTGTAGTAAAAATAGCCCCAGGGCTAGTTTAGGGGCGCAGTAATACAATCAAACATGACAGTACTCAACACAAGGGAATCCCATTATACTCTTAGATTGCCCCTGAATCTAACAAACATCAACACAAACATTTAAAACAAAAAAACAAAACAAAACAAAAAAAAGTATAATAATTAACATAGCAGAGAAACATGAAAAAGTCAGTTTAATAACACACAGCCACAAGGCAAATCAAGTATGGAAGAAGGGCTGATGGCGGGCATCTTCTCCTTCATTGCATCCTTACTTAGGCCTCCTTTGTGCTGGCCTTCATCTTCTCAACCGTTTCCTGCGTTTTTGAACAATGAAAAGTTAAATTAAACTTAAAATATAGCTTATCATGTAACATACTGAATGCATATTGACTTCAGTGCATGTGTCTAAGCATGTACAGGCTTCCAATTGTTCACGAGTGCTTGTTCCATTAAAGTTAACCATTGTATTTTGAAGGTGAATTGTACCTACAGCGCTACATTTGTTTACAGCGGCATTATAAGCTGCTCCTCTGGGATACAGAGTACGTGACCTTGCTGATTCAGCCATGGCCTCAAGCCAGATCCCTACAGCTATCTTGTCATTCACACTCGTAAGCAAGTGCACACACGCACACACGCCACATAAAAAAAACGATTCTTTATGTAAAGCGGTTTTTTTTTTTTTTTGCTTATCTCGGCCTACTTTTACCTAATTTGCTCATTGAATTACACATTACTAAGCAATTATTAACTGAGGCTCATCCGTAGCCTTTTCAATCTGCCCTCTATGTCATCATCGCAGCAGAAGTTTTATTGATCTCATTTACAAAACATTTTTTTTATTTCGCAGCTTTAGATTTATTGTTTTACTTTTTATGCCAGGAGTGATAAAGCTGCTGATACTGAGGCTCGCTGGGCCGTGTTAGGGTGGTACACAGTCACATAAAAATTTACACCTACCAATTCCCCTGTGAATCGTATTGTGCTGGCTGAGCAGTTTAATTCGAATGCTCTTTGTCCAGAAACACATTGCAAGTAATCAAGGTTATATCCTGAAGGAATCCAAAAGCAGACACAGGGCTTGTTGTTCACGTTGGTGATGTCTCGTGGACTTTAAAACCCGAGTGGAATCCTACGAGCGGCGGACAGTGATGGATCTTTGAAATACACTTTAATAACCATCACTGCAGTCACATGGTGTGAAAAGTTAAATTCTGGGAAAGACTTTCAGGTTGGGGAGACAAAGGGGAAGGGCTTCTGATTTTGATTTATGTCGTCATTAGTATGACTGATATGCTTTAGATGGATTTTCAGATTAGAAATACCGACCTGGTGCTTGTTGAGCTCAGCCACACGGAGGTTCCACTCCTCCTCAGTCATCTCTGCTCCAGCATCTGCTGACTCATCCGCAGTCGCCTGTTTGTCTGGACAGATAAAAAATGGTCAAGGGGCATTTGTTTTTGAAGAATGGTTCGTTGAAATGATTTGTAGAATAGACTAAATTAAGATCACTTTCAGCACTTGAACCTACCAGTGCAGGTCATGGCAGTGCACACCCAGTTACCGCACGCACAAACGCAGCGGTTACACTCAACCTGGGTCTCTGCTCCGTCCTCGTACGTTTCATCCTCCAAGGCACACTCTGGAGGAAAAGACACATGACAAGTTATCCAGCCAAGACCACAGATAATAGAGCGTAGCAGAACGATAAGGAGGAACAGCGCGACACTGATACCAATTTCCATGACACAGACTTGTCAGCATTTCAAAATACCACATTATGCCACACAGCTTAATTGCCCTGTGACATGCCTTTAGCTACATTTAGCTTACTCTTGCATAGTCAGAAAATCTGCCAACACCCACGCTAAGCAGAACTCATAAAAAAAGATCAAGACATTTTTCAAAATGTCTAAAGATGTGCATCATTCTCTTAAAATCTCCGGGCCTGAAAATCTTGATATCCGTGACCAAAGGAATCCTGTATGTGTTTTAAACCCAGAGTTTTTTTTTTTTTTTTAAAGAAATAAACATTCAGCTTGCCAAATGTGTGTGTGTGTGTGTGTCCTTGGATCCTTGGATCTGGTGAAGCTCCAGGGTTCAGTACTTCATAAGGGCTGGGTGACAGAGCAATGTCTCCGCTTCCTGTGAACTTTATCCCAGATACATCGGCACCAGATGACTGAGCAGACTGAAGCGACTACCGCGAAACTGTCTCAAATTCCTCAGAAAAGAGCAGCAGCTCAGCCTCATTTCCACAGTTTGATGGAAGTCAGGGCTGCACTACTGACGTTTTATCACTGCATATATACATAGTGTAACCTACCAGTGTGTAGCTTTATCTCGCGCTATGTTAAAGTATATAAAGTA